ATGAATACCAACCCGACATTCCCACCCTTCAAGCCAGCCGAGGAAACGTGGGAATCATACAGAAACCGATTCATCTACTTCCTTGATGCTATTGAAGAAGGACCAGAAAAGGGATCCATTTTATATAAGTTAGCTAGCTCCTGAGCATACTATAACTATCTAATATAAAAGTCATAAGGACAGAAAGCAGCTCTGTCTGTATTACGCTGAATAATTAAGAAATATATTTAGAGGAAGTAACGATGTACCTAAAGTTGAGAACAAGGAAGCTGCAAACAAGGAAAGGTCATGGAAGAACATCTGAAGGTGTAAGATAACGGTAAAAGATAACATATACTTACAAACATCCTGTCTTCTTTACCACATCCTCTTTGTTATGTTCTGTTCCCAGGAAAAATATGTTTTTATGTATTTTGTAAGCATACAATCCATATTTGGTAAATAGGTCATAGATGAACGCCCAGGCTTGGGCTGAAATAATCATAAGGTATAAAGGAACTAACCCCAGCATATGGGGGGGGGGTTCAGAATTTGTCATGTTAATGCTCTGAACGCTTTGCGCAAATAAACCTGTATTCTTCCATCTCTCGTGGTCTCTTGTTCTGCATTGAAAACGTGATTGCTGCAACACTATCAGTCTAACAGACGCTGCTGAGCTCAGGAAAAAAGCCTTCTTCCTTAGTTACTGTGGGGCTGCGGTTTTTGACACCGCTACAGCACTAGTCGCCCCTCGCTCTGTCAGGAATCTCTCTTGGGAAGAACTCCTAGAGGTTCTTACCAATCACTACTCACCTAAGCCCTCCCAGATAACTAGAAGACATGCCTTCAGAACTAGGAAGCAGACTGAGGGGGAGTCAATTAGAGAGTATATGGCAGCTCTGAGATCAGCTGCCTTACAGTGTGGATTCAGAGACTATCTGGAAGACATGCTACTAGATCAGATTGTCTGTGGAGTTAGGGACCTCAGGCTTCAAAGACGCTTACTAGCCAAAAAGGACTTAACGTTAGCTTTAGCTATAGAGGAAGCTCAAGCTGCTGAACTCTCTGCTCAATCAGCAGCAGAAATACAAGGGGCTCCTATTAGACCCAGCAGCACCACTATTCACTCTGAAGAAGTCTCCCTTGAAGAAGATCCCATAGGCACTACAGACATAAACCGCCTCAGGCAACTAAAACCTTCACAAGAAGGAGTAGGGCAAAGAAACAACTTCACCCCCAAACAGCCTCCCTTTTGCCCAGGCTGTGGAGGTTCCCACACTAGAGCATCCTGCAGGTTCAGGAATGCAATTTGTTTAAACTGTCAAAAAAAAGGCCACCTAGCTAGGGTCTGCCTAGCAGGGCGAACCTTCCCTCAGAAACCTCAACCTACTGCTAATTTTCAAAGGCAAGTGGAGGACTGCTATACTTGCTACCACGCAGATCACATTTCCAGAACCCCTAATAAAATAAGTATTTTTGTTTTCCTAGAAGGTAAGCCTTGCAGGATGGAGGTGGACACAGGATCTGCGCTTTCAATCATCTCCTGGGAGACCCTGAAGAAGATCCACCCAAGGCTGTCAAAAAAGAAGCTACAGAAGTGCCACCTGTCCCTGCGAGACTACCAGGGCAAGAACATTCCTGTCCTCGGGAAAGGCAAGTTTTTAGTTCAGTTCCAAGGTTTTAAAGGCCATTTGCCTTTGGTGGTTGTTAATGGTGCCCTCCCAAGTCTGCTGGGACTAGATTGGTTCCCCTACCTCGGCCTTAGCATAACTGGGATCCATGCTGTCTCAACCTCAGACGTAGACACCCTATTTAAAGACTATCCTGATGTTTTTAGCAGCGAGTTGGGCTGTTATTCTGGCACCCCCATCTCCTTCACTGTAGACCCCCAGGCAATTCCCCTTCGCCTCAAGCCACGCAGAGTTCCCTTTGCCATCCGCCCAAAGCTAGATCTGGAATTAGATAAGCTACTTAAGCAAGGGGTCTTAGAGCCAACTGATTTTGCAAAATGGGAGACCCCCATAGTCACCCCACTCAAGAAAGATGGCAGCGTGAGAATCTGCACTGACTACAAGACCACCCTCAATCGTTATCTGCAGGTCAGCGCATACCCTGTCCCTGTGATCCAACACTTATTACACTCTTTCGAACCCGGCACCATCTTTGCAAAATTAGACATGTCCCAGGCATACCAGCAGTTCCCTGTTGATGATCAGACAGCTGAGCTTCAAACCATAGTCACTCATAGGGGGGCGTTTAAATGCAAATGCCTTCAATTTGGTGTTAGTGTAGCCCCAGGTATTTTCCAGTCCCTTATGGAAAGGATTCTCCAAGGTCTCCCAGGGGTTGTCCCGTACTTCGATGACATTTTAGTTTCAGCCCTTAACAGGACTCAGCTCATACAAAGGGTCAGAGCAGTCCTAGACAGGTTTAGGCAGCATGGCCTCAAACTCAAACGTGAGAAGTGCACCATCGCCACTAAGCAAGTGGACTTTCTGGGGTATAGGATTGATGCCTCTGGCATTCACCCAATCGAATCAAAGGTCAGGACTATCCACGAGGCACCCACACCAACCAACAAGACGGAGCTCCAAGCCTTCCTGGGGCTATTGAACTTTTACGCTTCATTTCTTCCTCATAAAGCATCCATTGCAGAGCCCTTACACAGACTGTTAGACAAAGAATCCCCTTGGCATTGGGGACCAAGGGAAGCCCAAGCTTTCAACTCAGTCAAATCCTTACTTACATCTGATGCAGTTTTAATCCAATTTAATCAACAACTTCCCCTGGTCCTGGCAGCTGATGCATCCCCTTTTGGTATTGGGGCAGTCCTAAGCCACAGGCTCCCAAATGGTTCTGAGGCACCAATTGCCTTCTTCTCTAGGACTTTCTCTGCTGCAGAAAGAAACTACAGCCAAATAGATAAGGAGGCCTTGGCTGCAGTGGCTGCAGTAAAAAAGTTTCACGAATTCCTATTTGGGCACCATTTTGAACTCATAACTGACCATAAACCACTTCTGGGGCTTTTGTCAGGGGACAAACAAACCCCACAGGTACTATCACCTAGAATGACCAGGTGGACCTTGTTCCTAGCCGCTTACTCGTTTAAATTGGTGCATCGCCCTGGAAAAAACTTAAGTCATGCTGATGCCCTTAGTCGCTGCCCCCTACCTGTTCCAGTCGAAGACCCAGCACCTATCCATTCCATCTTTGAAATAAATGAACTTAAACTGCCTGTTACAGCTGAAAACATTGCAACGCATTCAAAAAAAGACAGGGTAATTGCCCAGGTTCTGGACTGGGTGGGAAGGGGGTGGCCGGAAACACAATACACTCCTGACTTCACTCCTTACAAGATATGCAAGCAGGAATTGTCAAACCTACAGGGTTGTCTGTTGTGGGGGACAAGGGTGGTCATCCCAGCCACTCTCCGTGTTCCCATTCTAAAGGTCCTTCACGAGGGCCATCCGGGCATCGTAAGGATGAAGGCCCTGGCCCGCAGCTACGTTTGGTGGCCAGGCATGGATGCCCAAATCTCCACCTGGGTTAGCTCGTGCCAACCTTGCCAAGCAACCAGACCCGCCCCACCAGCAGCTGCTCCTACTAGGTGGGAAAGTGCTGGGGGACCTTGGTCTCGCCTGCACATTGACCTGGCTGGGCCAGTACATGGAAGGACCTTCTTGGTTGTAGTAGACTCATATTCCAAGTGGATAGACTTGGCCCTACTACCTTCAACAACCACTCAAGCAATTGTTAAGGCCCTGACTCGTTTGTTTGTTACCCATGGGCTCCCTGACACGCTGGTGTCTGACAATGGCCCCCAGTTCACATCTTGTGAGTTTAGCATGTTCATTGCCAACTTGGGTATCAGACACATCCTCACAGCCCCTTTTCACCCAGCTAGCAACGGGATGGCGGAGAGGGCAGTCAGGTCAGTAAAAGAGGCACTTGCTAGGTTTGGCCAGGAAAACTGGCACTCCAAACTGTCACGATACCTTCTTAGCCAACACACAACCCCATGCACCACCACAAATAAATCTCCTGCAGAACTTTTAATGGGGAGACGCCTTAGGACCACCCTGGACAGGCTGCACCCCCATTACTGCCCAGATACCCCTATTGGATCTGACAGCTTGGTCAGGGATTTCGCCCTGCGTGACCTGGTCTATGCCAGGAATTATGCAGGGGACCCTCTGTGGGTACCTGGGCAGGTTGTGTCAATTGCAGGGCCAAGATCTTACAGAGTCCTCTTGGAAGATGGACGCCTGTGGCGCAGACATGTGGATCAGCTAAGGAGGCGATGGAGAGGCGCAGCTGAGGGGTTCCTTAACCAACCAAGCGACCCGGTCTACCCAGTCCAGCCATCCAGCACCAAAGACTCCCTGCAGGACCCGCTCTACCACGACGACGACGAGACCCCCCTGCAAGGCCCAACCTACCCAGCCGAGAGTTCCCTGCAGGGTCCGACTCGCCCCTCCGACAACGAAAGTTTCCAGCAGGCCCCGGTCTACCGCCCCGACCAAACGACGCGCCAAAGACAGACCGAGCAGGAAGGCTTACCCAACCTACAGATGGACCACGCCGACCGAGCACGCTCACCAACGGCCTCTGAAACGCTCCCGGGGACTGAGGACTTTGTTCCAGCCAGCAACCTGCCTGAGCTGCGGCGGTCCAGCCGCCATCGCAGGCAACCAACATACTTGCGGGACTACGCATGCTCCTGGCCGGGGGAAAGGAGTGTTGTGTCTATAGGACTGGTTGGAGTCCCCAACCAGGTCCGTCGTTCAAGCGGGAGCGCCGAACGGTCCCATTGGCTGAGCCGTCTGACAGCCGGCTATAAAAGGGAGCTATCAGACGGCATCAGCTGTTGCCGCCAGCTGATCTGCCGTGTTGGCCAGGCAGACGCGGCAACCCTTTATTCAGCTGAATAAAGCCTTAAAACGTTCGCTCTGGCTTCAGTCTCGTGTCTCCGCCGCTCTACAACACCTTTGGTCTCTCATCAGCCCCAAGGATCTTCATGAAAGTCGTGGCAGCTTTGGCAGCGTTGCTTCACACCATTCCAGTGAGGGTCCAGTGCTACCTGGACGACATACTCATCCAGTCGTAGTTGATCCACTCAGCTCATTGCAACCTTCACATCACACTGCAGAGCCTATGTGACCACAGGTTCTCAATCAACCTAAGGAAAAATCACCTTTCATTGACGACCAGGTTGCTTCACCTCGGGACGATTATAGATATGTCACTCTTTGAGGTGTTTCTCTCCCCAGATCGAGGGGAGGGCCTTCACAGTTGCATCCTTTAGAATCAGAGTCAGAGCACTGTCCCATTGTCTCTACTATCCCAGATCCTGGGAAAGATCTCCTGCATTGGACTCACCCTGTAGGCCCATCTCCATGCCCGGGAACTCCAATGGTTCTTGCTCCCCTTTCAATGGGTAGGAACCAGCCATTCTACCTTAAGGGTACAGGTTCCTTCTCAGGTCCTTCGGTCCTTTGCATGGCCCTAGAGAGGAGTCTTACATTCAAGAAGCCAGACAGGATCTGGCTCACCACAGATGCCAATCTCCACAGTTGGGGGGCCCATCTGGAGGAAGAAATAGCCCAGGTTTGTTGGTCACAGGCAGAAAGAAATTGGCTGGAGCTCAGGGCTATTTTCCTAGCCCTGAAACACTTCTGGAACAGGGTGGCTGGTCACCATGTGCTAGTCATGATGGACAATGTGGTTGCAAAGGTCCATGTCAACAAGCAAGGGGGGACCAGGTCCAGGGCCTTGAGAGAGGCAGAGCACCTGGGGATGTGGGCGGATCATATATCGGGGGTCGACAATTTCCAGGCCGACTGGTTGAGTCAGTCCACAGTGGACCAGGCAGAATGGAGTCTCTAACCCTCTCTGTTTTGGGACTTGTCATGCCGATTCAGTCCTCCATCCGTAGACCTCTTTGCCACCCCTCAGAATGCCCAGGTGGGTAGGTTCTTCACCAGGTTTCCAACCCAGGGAGTGGAGCGCCTGGCCTCTGGGTCTCCTCTACTCTTTTCCCCCTCTTCCCATTATTCCAGATATAATTTGGAAGTTGTTGGAGGAAAAGGCAGAGCTAATTCTCCTGGCGCCCCATTGGCCCAGGAGACCCTGGTTCGCAGATCTAGTAAACCTGTCTGTGGTTTACCTGTCAGCCATGGAAGATCCCAACTTCCAGGATCTCCCTGCAGCAGGGGGCAATACTTTGCCCAAACCCCCAGTGGTTCACCGTTTGGTGCTTGAGCAGCAATCTATGAGGGCTTCCAACTTTCCTGACAGGGTGATTGACACCATACAAGCTTCCCGAAAGCCATCTACTATGTGCATCTACGATGCGACTTGGAGGGCCTTCTGCCCCTGTGCATTCCTTCGTCCAGAGCCCCCTCTTCTGCTTCTGTGACAGGGGTGCTAATGTTCCTACAAGGTGGCTTAGACAAGGGACTGATCCTAAACACGCTTCACTGCCAGGTAGCGGCTCTCTCCTCTGTTCTATCCTGGGAGGGATATGCTTCTGTCCCATCCCCTTCGGTGTGCAGGTTCCTAAGGGGGGCATCTAACCTTCAACCTCCTGTTGTACATAGGTTTCCCACTTGGGATTTATCTAAAGTTTTACAAGCTCTAATGAGGCCCCCTTCTGAGCCCCTCAGATCTGTATCTCTACAAATGCTGTCCCTCAAAGTAGAATTTTTATTGGCCATTACCTCGGCAAGGAGTGTTGAAATTAGTGGCACTTTTGGTACGACAGGACCTGTGTCTTTTCCATCACAACAGGGTAGTTCTTAGGTTAGACCTCACATTTGTCCCTAAGATAAACACTTGGTTTCACTGGGTGCAAGATGTTGTGACTTTTGTTGTGACAAGACTTTTGCCCCTGACCACAACATGAATTGAAACACAGGTGCTGGATGTGAGGTGGGCCCTCTGAATTTACATCAAACGGACAGCAGCCTTTCGAAAATCTGAAGCCATGTTTGTGTTGTTTCATAACTACTCTGGGGAACAAGGTGACTTCATCGACAATAGGAGATTAGAGATTGTATATCCAAGGCATACCAAACTTTGTCCATGCCAGTCCTCAGACATGTCACTGCTCACTCCACTAGGAGTGTGGCTACTTTGGCCACCTGGTCTGCTCAAGTGTTGCTGGAGGAGATCTGCAGAGTGGCTACCTGGGCTTTGCCTTTGCCATTTATATGGCGTTATCGCCTGGATTCATTTGCCTCAGCCCAGGCATCGTTTGGTCGGAGGGCGCTTCAACAGGTGGTTCCTTAGTGGGAGTGACTGGCACAGGCATTGCCCCTCCCATGGACATGCAGGCTTTGATATGTCCCATTCCTGGACTCTCAAGGCAGCATGGATGAGAATGGGCATTGGTATCATTACCTGAGAATGCCCTTTCTATCTAGGCTGCAAGAGAGTCCAGCCCCACCCTATACATCTGGTTTTGATGGTTGGGGAGGGGTGAAATTAATTTCTTGCTTATCTTCCAGAGACACATTACATCTGTCAAGTATCCTCACCTAAAAGATGGGTGGGCCAGCCAGGGCTGGCTTTTTTATAGTGGCAGACTCAGCTCTATGACGCCAGGAAGAGGATGTCAGCTTCTGGATTTTTCCCATTCAACTGAAAAGAATGAACTTCTGATCACTGGATGTTTCAAAAGGAATTCTTTATTGAAATGAGATGATTCCAGCAGGATTCAAAGCAAATTCTAATGGCTCCCAGGCATGCAGTGGTAGATAAGGGAAGTTAGGACCCTTCCCCTTATCTTGATGTGCATTTTGGCAAAGACCCAACATGTTAATTTCCCCCTCCCCTTCTTTGGGAACAATCTTTTGAAGAGTTTCTCGGGGCTTATCTTCCGGAGCTGGAATTTTTATGGTCCCTTCTGCCCTTGCTGTCTCTTCAAGAGGTGACAAGTTTCTAGACATCTGGCTTCAGTCCTCCAGTTGTGTATCATGTGCAAGTTATACAGATTCAATATAAGATTTAATATATTCAGGTTACATCAAAAAGGATTACTTATACCAACTTCCCTCCCCCCTTCTTCTTCCATTGAAGAATGGCAGATACATGGATCTGACAGAGGAGCTTAACCCATTCCTGGACTTTCTTGCAGCGTAGATAGAAAGGGCATTATCAGGTAATTATACCAATCCCCAATCTTAGAGGACCCTTTCTGCAAATTTGGAGCCTATCAAAATGGTCAACATGAAGAGTTTGTAGGATAAGTTATCACATGAGCTTATTTAAATAATTGGAAAATACAGTAATTGTGTGGAAACAGGGTCCAATGTTTTTATTTTCATTAAGCATTGTTGCCAAAAATAGTTTTCAATTCTAAGGTACTTCTAACTACTGCCATTAAATACCTTTTACTTTCAGTCACCAAAAGTGAATAGTTCCAAAAGTTTCCAAGATATAAAATCTAAAATCTATAGGATCACCATGAGTTGCCATATAGTCCATTCCAACACCACAAATGTGCAGGGCTTTCTCCTCAAAAGTCCCTCATTTTTTTCTAATCTATTTAAAAAATTAATCTTCCCCCTTCACCATTCTCCCACCCCTTTCCCACCCACCTTGGGACAAAACCTCACCAAAGTGACCACCCTATACCTGCCAGGCTGTTGTAACAGTAGATTTTGATGCTCATCCATGTTTGCCAGGCCGATAGCCCCTGTGGAGGAGGCAGTCGAAGTGGTGGCATCCTCAGAGTCTTCCTGGACCAGCAACAGCCCCTTCAGGTCCAGCAATGCCCTGTGATATTTGTCAATGGCGAGGAAGCACTTCTCCTTGTAGCACTGATATCCTTGGCTTTTGAAATCCATCACTCTTGGATCAGCTGCTCGGGCTCAGCAGTTAGAGAAGCGGCACTGGATTTCAAAAGCCAAGGAGCTCAATGCTACATGAAGAAGTGCTTGGGAAGCCATCGGCAAGAGGCCTGAGAGGAGAGCATTCAGAGACAACTGGGAAATGGCGGGAAACGGTCACAAGCAGCCTACCTTCTGGGGAAGAAAGGCAAGCGGGAAATGGTGGAAAACACATGGGCGAAGGAAAGGCTACACATGGCTGGGCATGCTTGGCAGGAGACGCAATGCGATGGGGTTATTTTGTTCGTTGCCAACAGAGCCACCAACTGAAATGTAAAAAGGAACTGGAACAACCAGCATGTGGGAAGGAGGAGTAGGGAGAAGAGGGGGAAAGTGGCCTCCTTACCTCACGCCAGCCGCTCCATTGCCCATTTCACCTTTGCAGCCCTGCATGACGGAGCTTTCCTTCACCCTCCACCATCCAGATGCCCTCACTTCTCTCAAATATTTCTTTGCCTACCTGATTTCCAGCTCCATTGTGTTCCTCGCCATCATGTGCAGGGAAAGAAAAGTTTGTGTGGGGCTAAAAAAAATTCACTCATTAATTCCAACTTCATGAGATCTTTTTTAAAATGAGAAGTTGGAATTGATTGAAATGTTTTTAGCCCCACACAAGCTTTAGTTTCCCTGCACGCGACAATGGAGCTGGAAATCAGGTGGGCAAAGAAATGCTTGGGTTATTTGGGAAAGTGAGAACATCTGAGCAATGGTGGGTGGAGAAAGCTCTTCTGCCAATAAAAACCTTGTCTTTAATGGCTGACACTGAAAGACAGAGCAAGAGCTATCTGGAAGAAACCAGTTGGCCTGGTAGTCAAGCAGGAATACTTTTTCTCTCACACTCCATCTGCCACACTCCCAAATTGCATTGAGGTAGTGGGATGGCTAAGCAATGGGCAGGAAGCCCTGCCATGCCCGGCGATGGTGGGGAGAAAAGATGGCAAGAGGTGGTCTGTCTCGTTCCATGCGTCCCAATGAAAGGCAGCGGCAGCGCAGCTGCTTCCGTCCCCGCAAAGAGGGCAGGCAAGCACCTGGGCCATGGGCACCACAGGGGAAGGCAGCAGGGAAGGCAGGCAAGCAGGCTGGGCTGCAAGAATCGCATGGGAAGGCATGTCAGCAGGCTGGGTCATGGGTACTGGGTGAGAAGGCAGCAGGGAAGGCAGGCAAGCAGGCTGGGAGGCATCTGGGTGCGAAACAAAGGGAGACTCACCAGGCAGAGATCAGCTGGGCTGTGTGATCAAGGTGAGGGAACCAGAGAACAGCAGTTACGTCTCGGGCATGACTCTAGGCACCGGCCAAGGCAGGAGAAGTGACTGGGAGGGGGCAGGGTAGATGGTGCCAGCCAGTGGTGCAATTTGTTATCCGAACTGCGCAAAATTGTAACAACTGGTTCACTCGAACCAGTCCAAAACGGCTGAATCCCACCTCTGAACTGGACACAAATTAATAAAAAAACATATGGAAGAATATGGTAAAGTTGCAGTATTGATAATGAAGAGCAAACTAGGATACTAGTCAAAATGTTACAGATAAACAAACAAAAAAGAATTGATGAAGACAGACATTCAGATAGTTAATAAAGTAAAATACTTCAGAATTCAATTAACAGCAAGTTGTACAACCATTAAAGAAGATAATTATTCTAAGCTGTTGCAACAAATTAAACTAGATTTGGAGAAATTGAGATATTTGCAATTATTGATGGTAGGAAGAATAGTTGTAATAAAAATGAATAACTTACTGAGAATATTATTTTTGTTCCAAACAATTCCGATAAAGTTAGAAAAAATTTACTTTGAGGAGCTAAATAAAATGATGTTAAAATACATTTGGCAAGGGAAAAGAGCAAGAATAAGATTGAAAATGCTACAAGACTGTAAAAGGGGAGTTTGGATTGCCAGATTTTGGATTTGTGATAGCGCAGTGGTTAGAAAGCAGTACTGCAGGCTACTTCTGACCACAACTGGCTGCTGGCAATTTGGCAGCTTAAATATCACCAGGCTCAAGGTTGACTCAGCCGTCCATCCTTCTGAGGTCAGTAAAAGGAGGACCCAAAAGGGGGGCAAAATGCTGACTCTGCAAACCACTTAGAGAGGGTTGTAAAGCACTATAAAGCAGTATATAAGTCTAAGTGCTATTGCTATTTGATTTAAAATCAGAAATATTTTTGTTGAGTATTTTACTAGAATAGTATAATAAAGGGAATTCATATCTAATTTTACATGTGTTAACAGCAGTGAGATTTTTTTTTTGCACAACAGTGGAAAAATGAAGAGATCCCTACAGATGAGTGTTATAAAAAAATTAGAATGCACAAAGATGGATAGATTAACACTCAAAATAAAGAAGGAAGAAATAGAATACTTTTTAACATGGGACTTGTTTTATCAATGGTTAAGAGAAACAAAGGTTAGAAACTAAAGAGATTAAGAGAATGATTAATTATATAATGAAAGTTTACTATTATGGATAAGCTAATATTACTATTACTATGTGATTATTGTTATCTATATTATCTTTTTTGTTGTTCAAAAATAACTACTCAGACAACATGCTGTTCATATAGATTTTGAGTTTTTATGTTAAAGAAAAATGTGTGTGTGTGTCTGTGTGTGTGTGTGTGTGTAATCAAACAGAAAGAAGACATAGAATATTATCAAACTTGGAATTTAATTTACCAGTGATTGGAAAAAAGGAGTGGAGAGTAAGAATTGCATTTGTATTGTTAAGCAAATTAAATACCCAGACAACACAATGTTTATTAAGCACTAAGGAATGTAATTAATAGAAACTGAATAAAATTTATTAAAAATAAATACATTTATTTAATTACACACTGCAATCCATGGGCTTCTTTGTTGTCAGTTTCACAAAAAGATTAATAGGCACTCATACAAGAGCTGAAACAGTGTTAACCATTTGCTCATATATAACTGCATATAGTGGAGGAAAATTCCGATCTAATTTTTCCCCTACAATTCCCAAGTTATGTTTTGTAAAAACATAACAGTTTTTGTCTCTGTTGTTGACAGTTCTTGTGATTTCTAGCTAGAACTCTGAAAAATAACTGAATAATTCTGTCTTACCTCATGCCATCAGAGCCAGTATTAACAGAAAAAATATACAATTTTAGATCAGTATTCATAAAACTATTTGATTTTCCTTTTAGCTTTACCAAGAAATAAAACAGTAATACAAGCTTGTTTCAACAAGGCTTTCGGTTCCCTTTATTCTTTTAAATTTTATGTACTTATGAATGATTTGTATAATGTACATTCAATATAGAAAGTTTTATATACTGAATAATGTATAGAACATATCACAATGACACAATGCTTTTATATACCATGTAATTTTTAAATATCATTTTGCTGTATTTTAGTTTTTTGATTTGGTAAATCCAGTTAAACACACAAGGATCTTATTTATGCTAATGATTGGGAATATAGACAAACAACATCAAGCCAGTCAAGTTCTCAGAGGATGATCAA